GGAAGATAGAAGTAAAATGGGAGAAATAGGAATGCCCGGAGATAGAGAAATAGAGAGAAATAAGGCCTCCCTCAACATGACAATTAGGAGGCTTGGATTTCGGTCTGCCTGATTTAAGGCGGTAAGCGCCAGCAAAGCTCGACCAGAGTATGAGCTGCAGGTCACCGAAGATAGGCACGAACCAACACTAATAAGTCTCCCCCACAATAAGGCAATGAGAAAGGCTTGGATTCGGTTTGCCTGATAGGTTTTGTAAACACCTGCAGGCAGTTCTAGCAGAGCAGAGTATGCGCTGCAGGGCACCGAACACAGGCACGCATCAGCGCCTAAAAACCTCCTCACAACATGGCGAAGAGAGGACCCGGATTCTGTTTGCCTGATGCATAGGACTTGTAAGAGCCTGTGGCAACTCTAGCAAGTAGAGCAGAGTGTGTGCTGCGGGACACCGAAGACAGGCGCGTATCAACGCCAAAAAAAATAAAAAGAAAGGGGGATCTGTGGGGAGCAGCTCGGACTAGACTGTTACTGGAATTAAGACTTATTCTATGCATCTGCTCTCCCACAATATGGCGCTGGGAGAGAAGTAAACAGCTTCCGCACAGCTGCCTCCAGTTCAACCAATTAACTGTAGGACTTGCTCCTGATTGGAGGAGAGCAGCGTACTCGGCGTGTGGGCAGCCGAGTTGGGATTGGCGGAGGAGGACTATAAAGGAGGAGAGAGACGGCATGCACCAGGAACATCTATGGGGAACATCTAAGGGAACCCGTGCAGCCCCCCAGAAAGCCGGCCGGCGGTGTGCCGCTCCCCTGCGGAAGTGGGGAATGTGGCCAGGGGGAACTGCCCTTCCACGGAGGTGGAAGGGATAGTAGCCAACCCGGGAAGAACCAGCAGCAAACCCGGGGAGGGCCGAGCAGACGAAAGAACAGCGCAGGGTCCTGTGTCGTTCCCCCACGAAGACGGGGAGCGACAATAAAGTGCATGATTTTTTTCATCTTATATAAATAAAAATGAAAATCAACAACAATAAGAATTTATCTTTTATTTGTCTAGATTTGGAGTATATCTGGTGAAGAAAAGTTGAATAAAAAGATACATCCATGTTTATTGAAAGTTAAATATGTTTAATAGACCTCAGAATAATAATAAATCAATTATTGTTTAATCTACAGTATATTAGATCCCAAGAACATTTTAGTGTTCAATACAAAGATAAATTTACTGTCTGTAGTCCCATAATAATTTCTTATTATGGGTTATATGTAGATACCAAGAGATTGTATAGGGTTTAATGATTCACTCACCCAGTCTTTTCCTTTTGTTTTAAAAAGAGTTTTCTGGGTCTGTAGGCATAGTGGATAAAGTCACCACCTGCAGGGCCAGCTTCCCATAAGGATACAGGTTAGAGACCCAGCTGCTCTACTTCCAATCTAGCTCTCTGCTATGGCTTGGGAAAGTAGCAGAAGATGGCCCAAGTGCTTGGGCCCCTGAACCCGTGTAGGAGACCTGGAAAAAGCTCCTGGCTCCTGGCTTTGGATCAGCACAACTCTGGCCATTGCAGCCATCTGGGGAGTAAACCAGTGAATGGACGACCTCTCTCTGTCTCTCTGTGACTCTGCCTTTCAAATTAAAAAAAAAAAAATCTTAAAAAAAGAGAATTCTCTATGTCCATTTATAATTATTTGTTTTAATAGATTGAATTCTTTCATAAAATAGATACCAGTGATATTTGTGAGAATGATGTTTCACTATTTTCAATGAATGTGTACATGTTCTTATTCAGAATAATAAATGTATTTATGTATTACCTTGAAAATCTAAAATAATTTCCTTTCTTGATTGTATTTAGGTGGCAAATCTTGCTTGTTCCATGTCAACAAATGAAGATGGAATTAAAATAGTCAAAATTGCTGCTGGTCACCTGGAAACCTTGTGTCCACAGGTATATTAACTGTTATTCTCCCTGTAAGAAAAAATGATACTCATTTCTTCATACTCTTACATACAGAAAAATGTTGTAGTCTTAATGAATTGGTCTTAATCTCATCTTTTTTTTTTTCACTTTAATGAATTATTGGAGATCTTTTAGGAGGCACTGTGAGATGCTGGTCTGAAGCAAACAATTTCTAGAAGTCTTAATCTTTAGAATAATCATTGAAAATGGGCAAAATGAGTTCTGATAATTAAACAGTTTCATGTATTGATCTATCTTGCTCAATTCTTTAGTCAAGAAAATAGAAAAGTGGTCATGTTTTTCAAGACTTCTAAGGAAAAAAATCATTCTATATTGCAAATCCTAGAATATTATAACACAAATGATATTTTATGTATCATTATTTATATAATGTTATTTTACAGATAAGCAAAGTGAATAACAGGGAAAATAAGTATTATATGAGTATATATATATATATATTTCATAAATCAGTTATCTCAAAGGGCAAAGCAAAATGCTGACAAAACCTTCAACAATGACCTAGAAAACTTCTGCAAACATTTTTACACTTGAAATAATATAAACTATTTCTTTTGATGAGTTTTATCTTGTAATATCTGGTAGTAGTATTCCTATGTAGTGTTAATATCATATGCTATTTTCTAGTTTGAGATAGTAAAAATTTTCTTTCAAATATGATTCTGTATTTTTAGATCTTATTATTTATTTTGTACATATTTATTGGGTACAAGTGTGATAATTTAACTTATATGTTCATTATGTAAAGATCAAGTCAGGTTATTTAGCATTTTATATATATTTTTAAGCAGTTAAATTTTTGTTAAAATAATTGGACATATTTATGAGATACCATGTGGCATTTCAGTTCATGTATACAACATGTACTTATAAAATCAGCATATTAGCATTCTCTTTCTTTGTTGTTGCTTTATCTTTGGAGCCTTTGAGCTCCTCTCTTTTTTTTTTTTTTTGCTCAGAAAATACATAAGAAGTTTTTGTCGGCCAGCGCCGCGGCTCACTAGGCTAATCCTCCGCCTTGCAGTGCTGGCACACCGGGTTCTAGTCCCGGTCGGGGCACCAGATTCTGTCCCGGTTGCCCCTCTTCCAGGCCAGCTCTCTGCTGTGGCCAGGGAGTGCAGTGGAGGATGGCCCAAGTGCTTGGGCCCTGCACCCCATGGGAGACCAGGAGAAGCACCTGGCTTCTCCCTTCAGGTCAGCGCGGTGCGCTGGCCGCAGCACGCTGGCTGCGGCGGCCATTGGAGGGTGAACCAATGGCAAAAAAGAAGACCTTTCTCTGTCTCTCTCTCTCACTGTCCACTCTGCCTGTCAGAAAAAAAAAAAAGTTTTTGTGAATGGCAACCTTCCCCACTATGTTACTTGCTGCTTCTTTTCTCTATCTCTGATATGGTACCCATTTGTCCAATCTCTATCTGGGCCTCCTCACCCCATCTCTCCTAATCCTGATCTCTCATAATCACTATTCTATGTTCATATTGATGTTTTTTAAGCTTCCACATATGAGAGAAAACATGCAGTATGTGCCTTTCTGTGTCTGGCTTATTTCGCCTAATATAATGTCCTCTAGTTACATCCATTTTGCTACAAATGATAGGGTTTCATTCTTTTTTATGGCTGATATTCCGTTATACATAGATACCATGTTGTTTTTATCCATTCATATACTATAGGCAATTTAGTTGATGCCATATCTTGACTGTTGTGAGTGGAACTGGGATGATATTAAGTGGAAAGTTACCTTAGAAGACACGTTTAATCCTAACTAATCATTAAGCTTCTTTTCATCAACTAGGAAGTATGAGTAAGTTTTTGTTTCATACCTTACAGACACTGTAGCTATCCTCATGTCCATGGACACACAACATGTCCTGTTCTTCTGGCACGGGTGATTCTGTAAAAGGCTGGCATTGCAGAAAAAGAAAGATTCCTTCAGGGGCTATTTCAGAATCTCATGAAAGAGAAGTATTTAGTTTAGCTTATCTGATTTATTTTTAGTCATTTATTTTGAAATTTTAAATGACATGAAAGAAATGACTGTCCTTTTATCAAAAGAAAATATGGATTTGAAAAAAAGGCAAGAAATTTTTTCTTGTCAGCAATTTAGGAGTTTCTTAAAATCTGAAGAGCAAGACATTTTTTAGGGAATTATTTCTAGATGACTACTAGCCTTGAAACCATGAATTGGAATACACAAAAGGGCAATCTTTAAAACCCTTGTCTTAGAAGAAAAAGGAAATAATATGGCTATTTCCTTCATAATAAAGACCACAAATGTTGTAAAGATGTGAAATATAACAATGATTAGGGACTTAAAGTCCCTGGACATCTGCTGAGATATTCTTTCCACTAGATGTAGAGCATGTATTGAGTTCTTTATTTGCCTTGCCTACAATTTCATCTCTGAGAGTACTGAGGAAACAGTGAGGGAAGCTGCTACTTTGAACTTAATGCTGATTATCAAGTAAGAACTGATTGGAGAAGTGGTATATGCAGAGACTACAACTGAGATGTCATTTTTCCACTAGACCCCATGGGGAACAAAATACTGCAAAAAATTACCAAAGTAGTTGAATCAGTTATATTCCCTTCAACAGTCTGAGAGCTTTCATCTCTATACATCATGAATAACGGTTGATGCTGTCCCTTTTTAAAAAACAGCTTTATTTTTATTTTATTTGAGAGGGATGGAGGTAAGAAGAGGGAGGGAGGGAGAAAGAAAATGAATGAGCTAGCGCCTGGTTTCCTCCCCAAATGCGAGAGCTGAAAATAAATCAAGTCTTCTAAGGGGGTGACAAAGAGCCCAGTTACTTGAGCCATAATCACTATCTTAAAGAGTCTGATTTAGCAGGAAGCTGGATTTAGGAGCCAGAGACTGGTATCAAATCCAGACTCTCTGATATAGCACGAAGGCATCATAACCCTAGGTCAAATGCCTGTCCCTACAATGCTGTAACATTTTGAAATGTCTTTTTAATCTGAAAAGTACTAAATGTATTTTATAAATTTTTAATTTGTAATGTTCAAATTGGTAATCAGAAGATAATTTCAAAATACTTATTGACTAGTTGTCTTTCTTTGAGTTACTTATATCCTTTGCCAGTTTTTGGTTAGGTTGTCTTTTTTCTTTTAATCTTTCCAAAAAATGTTTTTAATCATAGAGAACTTTAAGAACTTTTAGGTACACATATTTCATCTTTAATTCCTTTAATAAATATTTATTGAGTACCTACTCAGTGTCAATTTGTGGTTTTATGCCTTGTTCAGAAATTCTGCCAACAAAAATGTCATATATTTCCTATATTATCTTTTAAAACACTCAAGTATTGTTATTCATCATTGTTATTCCTCTTGAAATTTATTTTTATGTCTAACATGAGGTGGGGAAATTTTATAGTATTAATAATGGGGCCATCATCATTTATTTTAATAGTTGAGCCTTTCTCCATTAATGTGAAATGCTACCATTGTTACATGCACACAGCACACATACACATGATGCATGTACACATCTATAGATGTTTCTGTTTCATATATATTTTATACACATGTAAATGTATACTTACACACATATGCTAATATACATGTGTAAAACTTATTTCTATATTATACTTGCACATAGATTCATATCACAGAATCATATCATGATAAATACATATCCTTAGTGCATAATTCTTTTTACTATTGTACCACAGGTAAATAAAGGGTGATAAGCACATTGAAACATATTTCAAAGTATGTAAGTTCCTATACTTTGTGTTGCAGATTTTTCTTTACCAAATTTTTATAACTCTTTTATATTACAATTCCTATGTGGGAATGTCATTATTCTAATCTCTAGGGTTTCTGTCTTGTGACTAGGAAGAATTAGAAGCACAGGAAAGTAGAGTGTGAAAGGAGGAGTAGTTTACCGAAAGACACAGAAAGCTTCGAGCATCTGAGAGGGGTACCTGAAGGTGGAAACTGTTGAGATGGGAACTGTCTAGGGATTTTTATAGACTGTAAAACGGGAAATTCTCATGATGGGTCTGGAAGAGACATTGAGAAGTGCCGGTTTTGATTGGTTAATTGGATGAATGTTAATTAACCAATCACAGAAGTCCTTCATAGAAACTGGTTCTTTTTCTCAGGTTTTCCAAGACGTTATCTCCAAATGAGGGGGAGGGATCCCCAGTCCCTGTTGAACCTTGCCGTGCCTGAGCAAGTGTTAACAGAAGAGTGCCGCACACTGATAAATTTTGGAGTCCTTTATTGCCGGTGGTGGAGGGTGGGCTCATGCCCTAAAGAACTGTCAACCCTGAAGCCCAAACTAACAGGGTTTATAAAGGCAAAACCCACAAAAATGGGAGGGGAAATATATGATTACTGGGGTCAAGCTAACCTAAGGCCTATGTGAAACGAATATCATGGAGCCTGTGCTGTGCTGCAGTGGGTTAATCCTCTACCTGCAACATGGCATCCCATCTGGGCACTGGTTCTAGTCCTAGCTGCTCCTCTTCTGATCCAGCTCTCTGTTATGGCCTGGGAAAGCAGTAGAAAATGGCCCAAGTGCTTGAGCCCCTGGGAGACCTGGAAGAAGTTCCTGGCTCCTGGCTTCAGACTGGCTCGTCTCAGCTTCAGCCATTGTGGCCACTTGGGGAGTGAACCAGCAGATGGAAGACCTTTCTCTCTGTCTTTCTCTCTTACTGTCTGTAACTCTACCTCTCAAATAAATAAAATCTTTAAAAAATATATCAATTATAAACTTGACAATACCAATTACAATCTTAACTCCAATTACAATTTTGACATGAATCCTGGTGTTGGGGACGTAGACATAGAATCATATGTGGGACACAGACAAATGACAATCTTATCATTAACCTAGGTGCAGTCTATCTGTTTTTAAGCTTGAGCAATCATGCTGGAGGGTATCTATGCTCTGCCAAATGTGATGTAGTAGACTGCTCTTGTCTGAGTTTTTAGATCAG